TTTTTTTTTTTTTTTTTTGAGAGAGAGACAGACAGAGAGCAAGGGAGGGGCAGAGAAGGCGGGGGGACAGAGGATCCAAAGCGGGCTCCGCACTGACAGCAGAGGACCCGAGGCAGGGCTGCAACTCACGAACTGTGAGGTCATGACCTGAGCTGAAGTCAGACACTTACGACTGAGCCACCCAGGCACACTGGATATTAGTATATTAACAGCTCTGAGATGCCCTGTAGCAAAGAAACCTGAGGGACTCTAATAGCATTTCTGAAACTAATTTGGGCGTAGAACTTGTATTCACAGCCCTGTCAAGTTGACGAGGACCAGTTTGGGAAAGCTAAGCCTATGAGTGTTGCATACGTTCCAAGTTCACGCTGAGTGCAGTCATAGGTAACCTACAGTTACTTCTTTGCATAAATGCAGTCAAATCAAATTAATTACCAAATTTTAAAAATTAGTTTGGCTTTTTTACATAGTGTCTGTCTTAATCAGGCCTGACTGACTGCCATAGCACGCAATCCTAAAATTTGAGTGCCTTAACAGGATAAAAGTTTATTTCTTGCTCACATCAGAGTCCACTGCAGGTAGATTGGGGGTGGGGAATATCTGCCACACAGTCATCCAGGGATCCGGGCCTCTTCCATTGTGTGGTTCTGCTATCTCCCAGGGTTTTGGAATCTTCCACTGAATCATTTGCACCCAGCAGCAGATGAACAAAAATGGAGAATTTTGCAGAGTCATGGTTGGAAATGGGCTATATCACTTTTGCCCACATTTCAATGGCAAGTACTTGTTACATGCCTACCTAGCTACAAGAGAGCCGGGGAATATAGTTTTAACATGCACTAAGTAAAATAAGCCAGACAGGGAAATACAGATACTGCATGGTATCACTTATACGTGGAATCTTTAAAACAAAAAAGTGAAACTCCTAGAAACACAGTAGAATGATGGTTGCCCCATGCTGGGGCAGAGGGTGGGAAATGGGAGAGAGGTTGGTAAAAGGGTACCGACTTTCACTTATATGATGAATAAAGTCTGATGCATAACATGGTGACTGTAGTTGATAGACTGTATTATATAATGAAATTTGCTAAGAGAGTAGAACTTAAGTGTTGTCACAAGAAAAAAAAAGGTAGGGGCTCCTGGGTGGCTCAGTTGGTTAAGTGACTCTTGGTTTCGGCTCAAGTCATGATGTCACAGTTCGTGAGATCAAGTCCCGTGTTGGGCTCGGTGCTGATAGTGCAGAGGCTTATGGGGATATTCATTCTCTCTCTCTCTCTCTCTCTCTCAAAGTAAATAAGTAAACATTTTTTTAAGTTAAATATGTGAGGTGAAGAATGTGTTGATTAACTTGATTGTGGGAATTATATCACGTTGTACACTTTAAATATATTACTCAATTGTACTCCAATAAAGCTAAGAAATGCACTCAGGAGGATAAGGAAATGGGTCTTCTCTTTAGCGTAATTTATCTTAGGTAATTTGAGGACATGTCAGATTAAGTTTAATTACAAATAACTGTCACTTTCCTTGGGAACCAGAAAGCCTTTGAAATGCATTCTGTTTTGTGGAGTGCTCTTGACACTGCTGCCACCGCTGCTTAGCATTCCATTTTCTTCTTCATCGTCACCATCATCATAGTTGTCATTATTGTTTTGTGTCATGTCAATTAGAGTTTGACCTCTGTTCATTGGCTAAATATCCCCTGTCGTCTGTCATTGCTTCCTGCAATGCAGAAGGTTTTCACAATAGTGAATTCCCTGCAGAAGTTCTGCCCTTTACTAGATCTAGCAAGTGGGATTTTTTTTCATGTTTGTTTATTTTTGAGAGAGACAGAGATACAAAGCACAAGCAGGGAAGGGGCAGAGAGAGAGACAGAGAACCCAAAGCAGGCTCCAGATTCTAAGCTGTCACCACAGAGCCCGATGTGGGGCTTGGACCCATGAACCACGAGATCATGACCTGAGCTGAGGTCAGATGCTTTAACTGACTAAGCCACCCAGGTGCCCCACAAGTGGGATATTTGAAAGAAGCTGCAGCAACGCATGGAGATTTGGTTTATTTCAATGTAGTCAGTGGTTAGGTCATTGCTAAGATCTACGGATCTAAAAGATCAAGGCCTTTTTGTCATTTAAGGCTCAGAGAGGCCCAAAGTGTTTTTCAGGGTGGTATTTTTCTGACTAGTGTAACAAGGCATCTGAGCACAGCCAGCTGGAGACTGCAGGGGAAATGCAAGGACATCACTAGTTTCTACAAGGAGGGGCAGATACTCGGACACAAACGGGACTTTGGAACTGAGCCAGGCCACCACTTACTGCTCAGTGCTAAGCTTTTCAGACCTCACTGAAAACGTGTGTTTTGAATAACTGCTGCGTTCTTGGGTAGACATTGTCGCAGCTTCAGAAGAGACTCCTCGATTTTCATGAGGAAAAACACACTTAAAGTTCCTTTGGATTCTTATGAATTATAAAGTTAAGAAAGTGTGTATAGTATCAGCACCTGCCCTGTCAATGCATGTCAATTTGAAAAGGAGCGAGTGGACTGACCAGTAAAAAGACACCATGTCTGCAGGATTTTGCGGACAAGCACTACACACGAATCTCAAAACTCCCTGAAATGACTTCACTGTAAGGCCATTCCCTGGGCAGTGCTGGATTCTGAAGATCCAGACTGGCTCCTCCTTCAATGAGAAGCTTAATTGTCATGAATGACCTGAGCCATCATTAGAATGTGCCCTCATGATCTCCAGCCCATAAATATGGCTCATTAAGCCCTTGTCTCAGACTGTGTTTCGGTAATATAATCAATGAAGTTTTCAAGTAGCTGCCATATAGAGAAGTCTAACCATTGAAACCGTTTTTAACACTTAAGTGCTTACGCAAAAAAGAACGTGGCATGACCAACCCTTGAGAAAAAGCTTTTCAAATTTTGACCATTCATTGCTCTTCTTTCTAATAATGTTCCATAGCCTGTGCTTGGATGGGAATTGTTGTTATACAGAGTCAACACTGATTCCATTTTTAAGGATTCCAAGTAGTGACACCTAGTGGCATACTTTTGTGGCCCAT